TAGCCCTTGCACATTTCAGTTTTTAGTATTTCCCCACTTAAACTTTAAATTACTTGTACCCATCAATATCATGCTTTCTAGGCTTTGTGCATTTTCCTGTACACATTTCCTCCCTACCTCACTTGGTGAGCTCCTCGTAGGCATTCTTTAAAATAACTGTACCTTCCCTCAGGGTCAATCACCCCCCTCCTGTGTTACTTCTGTACCACTTCCTACCATGGGTGTTATAGCAGGTATTGCCAAATTGCATTTTGTCTCCATCTCTCCTATTTAATAAATTCCTTGAGAATGAGTTTTATGTCTTTTTTTTTTTTTTTTTTTAAAGACAGAGTCTCACTCTGTGGTTCCAGGCTAGAGAGTATCCTGGTGTCATAGCTCACAGCAACCTCATACTCCTGGGCTCAAGGATCTTTTTGCCCCAGTCTCCTATAGCAGTTCTTTGGCTTATTCTGTGTATCATAGTGCCTTGAAATTGTCTTTCTTCTAGCAAGAAAAGGGAAATAATTTTAACCTTAAAAATGTGTTCACCTTCTGGGTCTAGAAAATGGCTTAGTCTAAAAATTAAGTTTTGATTCAAGTCTTAGCAGGCCTCTTTGCCCTTCCCCTCTTCAGAGCTTTCTTCTGTAGCAGATTAAACACACAGCAAGTAGCAGAGACTCAAATTCGAAAGCCTTGGAAGTTAATGAAATAGGCCCCCGGGAGACCGTTACAAAATAAGGTGCACAGGCGAAGAAAAAGGAAACAGAAGCTGCTTGTTGTGGTTGCAGTTTTCATTCTGAAATGAGCATCTACAGCGATGACTAAAGTCTTTCCCAATCTTAATATGTTGAAAATTAACTCAATTTAGGGAGGGAGAAAACAAGACTTAGGCTGAGCCTAAGTAAATCTAATTATTTCTCTTATTGCCCCACCTTGTGGACAAGCAGTGGAAATTTCCTAGAGCGGTTCAAAATACACCAACCACACAATGTTTAGAGGAAGTTCAAATGTAGACAAGACCAAAAGTTCATCTAAGTAACCTGACATTTTGTCAAATATGTCAGCAACTTATGTAAACAATGCAATTCAGTTCGATTCCAACATTCACTGAGCATTATGGCATGCTTGTTACAGAGACTGCCAAGATGAGTCAGAGGAGAGTTTCCACAATCACACTCCTATCAGGAAGTAAGTTCTCCTATTTAACATCTTTGCCCACCCCATTCTCCTTTCACGTCCCACTTACTTTTACTTACCTTATTAGTTCCAGAAATACACCACACATAAGCACTCTCCCACCTGGTCTTACACTCTTTACAGTGAAAATAGCCATATTTTGGTTCCAAAAACTGAAAATCAGGGAAGAAAAATCTTTTATTATCTTGGGGTTGGGGGGGGAGCACATCCTTTCCTTCTTTATGGCTTTATATAAGAAAAAAGTTATTTGCCCTTACAAATCTATTCTTAAGCCTACTGCGTTACTTAGCTTCTCCTCTCTTAAACACCACTCTGGGATTCTTCTTGTTGCCGACTCTTACACTCTTCCAAGCCATTTTCCAAATAGTATCAGCACAATCTCCCCAAAACGAAAGTCTGATTTCCTGTTTCACATACTTGAAGCCCTCTGTCTCCTCATTCCCAATAGCAATGGTTACTAAACTTTGGATTGTCACCAGCTTAGTTAAGGTTTCCCAAAACTTTAGCAAAACCTTACAAAATATACAAGCCATGTAAAAATACATGTTTTCCAGAGCTTCCTCTCTTGCACGAAGTAAGTCGAGAGAGGAGAAGAGATGGGGTTAGGAAAGAGAAAATCCACCTGGAAGTTGAGCTTCCGAAGCAGAAGCTGCGTGTCCACTTACCTGTCTGCTCTTCCTGTCCTGAGGACTCGGGGTATCTTCCTCCCCCATCTCATCCGGCTGTCCTGGCTCCTCCTGCTGGTCATCGCCTGATTTTGGCGTCGCTAGCTGCTGCTGGCTGACCTCCGCAGGGCCCGGATGCGCCTTGCTGTCCCCATCTTCCCGCAGCCGGACAAAGGCCCTGCAGCCGATCATGGGCGAATAGACTCCGCAGGCCCGCAGGGGCTCCCTGTGGCCGGTGCCATCCCAGGAGGAGCGACTGCGCAGGGTGCGAGGCCCCAGCGAGCACTGCACGGACTTGTCCACCCGCGGGCTCACCTGCACACCCACCTCCTTGGTGTTGGCCTTGCCAAGTCGTGGGCTCAGGCTGGGGTTCATCTGGGAGAGAATGGCCTTAAGCTGCGCCCTCTTGTAAGGGTCCTCGTAGTAGTCAGAGGCGTTTGCGGGCACCAGTAGCCCTGGCCTAGCCAGAAAAGTGGGGGGACCCATATTTTGCCTCCAGTCGGGCTGTTTGTGCCCTAAGAGTCCTGGCTGGGCCAAAGGCAGAGTGTTCCCGTACCCCTGGTACAACCCATAGGGAACGCGGACGAAGCGCTCCATCACCTCACCAGGTTCTGCTCACCAGGTGCTCAGACGCAGCCCAATATCTTAGTACAGTTTGTCTGTGTCCTTGTTTTGTCTCCAAACTTCATCCACTCTTCTTTCTCCTAATCAAGTTGGTTCCGATTTCTCCGTGCTTCTCCATTTATTTCAGATTCTAACGGGAGCTGCTGCTATCCATTACCGTAATTGAAGGTGGGAGGATCTGCCTATCTACAGAGCATTAACGGCCACCTGATTCCTGAATTGTTTTTCCCTACCTCTTCAACTCACTGTTCCTGAATCTTTTTTTCAAAGCTGTTTTTCATTTAGGACTCATTCACACATATGCTTCACACAATTCATTCATTTATTTCCTGTAAGTTGCTGATGGGAATGTATATTGGTTAGCGGTTAAGAACAACAGTATAGAGGTTACTCAAAAAAAATTAAAAATAGAGGTGAGGCATATGAACTCAATATCCTGAAGGGATTATCTGCACTCCATTGTTTATTACAACGTTATTTGCAATTGTTAACTTATGGAAACAACCTCAGTGTTTGGTGACAGATGAATGGATAAAGAAATTGGGGGTGTGTGTATGTACATATGCAATGGAATATTATTCAGCCTTAAACAAGGAGATCCTGACATTTGCAATAACATGCATAAAACTGTAGGATATTATAAGTGAAATAAGCTAGTTAGAAAAATACCACGTGATCTCACTTATATCTGGAATCTAAAAAAAATCAAATACATAAAAGCAGTGAGTAGAACAGTGGTTATGAGCTGCCGGGAGGTGGAAGAAAGAAGAAATGGGGAGCTCCTGGTCAGAGGGTATAAAGTTAGTTATGTAGGATGAATAAGTTTAGAGATCTAATGTATAGCATGATGACTACACTTAATACTACATTTTACACTGCACATTTGCTAAGAAATTTGTTCTCTCACCACACACAAAGGTAACTATGATGAGATGGATATGTCAATTGTTTGACTGTGGTAATCATGTCCATCAAAATATACTGGACACATTAAGTATATACAACTTTAATTTTTAAAACATTTAATATATAAAAAGTAAAGCATATAGTACATTGAATACAAACAGTAAATTATTTGAGCAGCAACACAGGAAGAATGTAAGGAAGAAAGTAGTTTATGGCAAAGCTCATAAGTCCCTGGCACCAAGAGAGCAAGAAATATAAAGTTATAAGGGGGGTATATAAAGTCAGAGAGAATATATTTCAGAGGCTTGTGTGATGTGCCAAAGGTTCTCATTAGTTTACTCCTAGTGAAACACCTCCCCCCTTTATCGGGTAAATGCAGATTTAATCACAGTAAAGTATATGAAGTCAAATCACTTCAATTCAAACTTGTGCCTTGTTACCAGGCACTTAACTATGTCAGTTTCCCCAACTCATAGAATTACTGTAAAATAAAGCATGATGTTGTTTGAAAGCACAAAACAGAATGACCAATCCATGAAATGTTTAGTAAGTGGTAGGTTTTATTAGCAAGGATCACAGACCTGTGTTTCTTTGCTAATTAGACCTCCAAAAGCTTTGGCATCTATCTGTATTAGCCAGGTTTCCTGCTACAACTAAAGATTACTGATTATCCAATTAAAATGATACCTAAGGAAACAAATGGAGCCCACCCTTTTTCTAAGTCAAGGTTGTTTCGGCTGTTTAGTGCTCAAGCACCTTCTGGAAGCAGCAAGGCCCATGAGCAGCTCTCACCTCCTGAATCAAGTTGAAGTCTTTCTTACAACAAACCCGAATTAAGCCTATAATAGGTCTGTCATAGACCCTGTGAATTCAGAGATGAGGACAAGTCTTACAGGTCAATTTGTGGGGGAGACAGTCATACAATATGGCAATCTGGTACCCTAAGAATGTTGAATGTTTGAAGAGACTAATGTAGCCTGCAGAGGGATGTACCCCACACTACACGAGCGAGTTAAAAGGGGTTTCAGAGTTTTTCAAGCGTTGAAATCGGCTCAGAGGTCTTGAACACCTGCTCCCAAGAGCAGGTCCTAAGGGCCTCTAACTTAATATAGCCCTTCCCACTACCATGCAGTGGGGAAGGGAGCCATCTCCAACCGTACACCATTTTAGGCTTTTCTAAGATCAGCCCACTTTGGGGGACAGACCTTGAGGAAACACTGTCTCTAAGGTCAGAACAAGACCTTTTCAAAGGTCCCAAGTCGTGCCCCGAGGAGACCCACCCAATCCAAACATAAGCTAGAGCAGAAAGGAAAGTGGGACTTAAAATAGATACAGAGGGCGGCCATCCCAACAGGACGGTCTCGCATTCTGAAAAATCAAGGAGAAGAAAACAAGCACACCAACTCCAACGTTTGTTTCAGCCCGAGGCTAAGTGTCCCGGATCTAACAAGAATTCTCTTCCGCTACGCTGGGAAGCGGAGGTAGCAGCCGGGCTGACGCCCGCCTGACTTCCGGGTGGTACGTACGCTGCGTGTTGCGTCACGGCATCACCTGACCCGAGCGGGCTTTTGGCGCGAGCGTCTAAAACTGGGCGGCATGGGTGGAGCTGCTGAGGCGCTGCGCTTTGGTGGTGGCCTGACCTGGTGGGCCGCCGAGAAGCCCGAGGGGTCAGGTTGGTGATTTAAATGCCGATGCTGTTTCCCTCAGTTTACTCCCGCCTAAAAAGAGCTGCCCTTCTGGAACGGGTTAGTGGTGGTAGGGGTGGAAACGGGAGTGTATTTTGCTGTCCCAGTCGTCTAGGATGGAGGGGAGCGCCTGTCGCGCGCTGGGTCGGCGCCGTGGCTTCTTTCCTGTTTTTCTTCTGACCCCTGTCCTTGGTAGAGTTGCCTGAGGGAAAAGTCCTTGTCGCCTAGGCGAATTCCCGCCCAGCAGATTCGGGCCCCTCCCCTTTCCTGGAACTCAGTTTCCCACCTGCAGTTCTGGCCTTTGGACCCCGCCAGCCGCTCGGGATTTGCCTCCCTGCCTTCTAGCTGTCTCAGGTGTCCCGATCTGAAATTTCTTTACCTGGTAACATTACTTTAACGGAATACTGCTATTTTGGAAAATGTTTTACAACTTCTGCGCACAGAACTCCCTTAGCCCCCAGGTAGTTGCTGTATTCTGAGGCTTTCCTGACTGGGAATTATCACATGGTACTCGTCTCTAGCAAGAACCATCCATAGGCTCGGCGCCTGTGGCTCAAGCGGCTAAGGTGCCAGCCACATACACCTAAGGTGGCAGGTTCGAATCCAGCCCGGGCCCGCCAAACAAAAATAATGGCTGCAACCAAAAAATAGCTGGGCGCTGTGGCGGGCACCTGTGGTCCCAGCTACTTGGGAGGCGGAGGCAGGAGACTCACTTGAGCCCAGGAGTTG